GTGTGTTTTTATTTCTCCATTTGGAGAAGTTGGTTTTTTCATTCTCCCAATTCCTTAAGAAATGTGGAGAATGGAGATGGAATTAGAATTTGAAGGAATAAATTTAGTAAACAAGTTTCTATTTTCCATTTTTCTACATCTCTAATTTTATGTTTTTTTTTTCTAGAAAATCATTCATTTTCCCACTTTGGTAAACAACCCCCAATGTCCCTCTTCCCATGAGTTTTTGATATGGATCAAATAAATTTTTTTTGTTTTTGTTTTATTTTGTATTATTATTATTATTATTATTATTATTATTATTATTATTATAAATTTTATTTTATTATTACATAATAATAATAATAATAATAATAATAATAATAATAATAATAATAATAATAATAATAACAACAACAACAACATGAAACATGTTAATTGCTAATACTAAAATGTTAATTTTACCAAATATCTCTTTACGAATCACTAATGCAATCTACCGGTCAAAACGACTGATGCAATCAAGCAATCAGCTGTTAACGAATTTAGTTAGCGAATTTTGAATTATATCAGTGGTTTTTACCAGGAAATTGCATTAGTGGTTTGTAAAGAGATGTTTAGTAAAATTAGTTGTTAACATGTAAAAAGACATACAAGAGCATTCATGTTATTTTAGGGTTGGGGTTCAACCTTTTGGAAAGAAGAGCATTCATATTATATTATGTAATAATAAAATAAAATTTATAATAAAAATAATAATTAGAATAATAATAACAAGACAAAAGGAATGATAATAATCACAATAATACCAAAAAATAAAAATAAAAATAAAAACAAGACAAAGGGGAGTGATAGCATGGCTCCCCTTTGTACATGATGTGGGATCAAAATAATCTCATATCAAAAACTCAAGGGAAAGACGAGCTCAATGTCCCTCTTCCAAAGATTAAATGCATGTCCATGATCCCACATCAGATGGGAAATAGAGTGGAGCCTAAGACTCCTTTCTGAAGATGTATTTAAATAAATAAATATATATATATATATATATATATATATATATATATATATATATATTATAATTTCGTGTGAGAGACATTTTGGAGAATCCAAACACGATAAAATGTAGAGTGGTTGGGAACAAATCCGTTGTTCCAAACTATTGTTTACCAAAAAAAAAAAAATTTGGCAAGTCAAAACGTTAAAAGTGATAGATTTGTCAAAATTTTTGATGAATTTGTTGTTTACCAAATAAGGCTTTTACTTAAGAAAAGTAACTTATGACTTGTGAGATTGGTATAACAAAGACATTTCTAATGTTTTAAAAGTTTAGAGAACTTGTAAGAGGAGATCCATGCATTATTGGCTAGTAAAAGCTATCCTCTTCAACATTGTTATCAACTTATCATGAAATGATCTAGGCAGTAGATGCCATGGCTAATTAGGGAGTTAGTAGAGACTCAAATGTATGAATCCTCGTATCCTTGAATTTCCTATTTTCACCTCTTTTATTATAATGGATGTTCATAGAATTCATACTTTTACATTTAGATAGGTGTTTGCAAAGGAGGAATCCTCCTTATTCAAGGTTTCCATTAAAAAAAAATGGATGACGAGAAAAACACATAACTACTATCTAAGAGGATGTACGGGATAAACTTACTCATTTGTAATAAGCAAAGAAGAAAAAGTTGGTTTGACCAAATGAATAATAAGTAGAACAGATAAAATGAGACAGATGGAGTTAGTTTTCAACTCGTATCACTTGAGTGCAAGTGTGAGGTGTTTTCTCTTAGAGCATCACTACCAGCGGTTATTTCTCAGTTTTTGGAATAGTGTTGGGGATAATAATTGATGGGAGGCAGTGATTCAAAGCAAAATAATTCCTTTGCAACAACGAAGTTTATGGCAGGAAAAAAAAAAAAAAAAAGAACAGCTGGCTAATGCGCGTTAGGTGCACGTCGCGCCCGTTAGCTGGCAGCCACTCTGACTTTTGTTTTACTGTTTTTTTTTTTAAATGTCAGAATATGCTTTAGTTTTTCTTTTTCCTTTCACCCACATTTTTATCTCTTTCCTAATCACACTTACAAAAACTCCTCAAAAATTGCACCGGAGATAAACTAGTGAAGATGCTCTTAGCAAAAGTGCCAATTCTCTCCTAGATAGGTTGTCCTTTTGGGGATCTTGTGGACAACATTACATTGTGAGAAGTACAATGATATCTACAATGTGAAGAACACAAAAAGTAATTCCAAGTACAAAACAACATACTTTACCAAGTGACATTTCACTAAACATCAAGTACATACCACTCTGCATTAGTCTTGTCTCACCACACCAACACCATAATATCTTAAGTGAAAACAGTCCAATTCTCGTGAGTAAAGCGATCAGACATTACGAATAAAACAACGGGTGTTAGGACGAGAGAATAGAACCGGTCAGCAGCTCAACTCGACTATATATATATTAGTTGAAACTCAATGTGACTACTGAATGCTCGCCAAAAACAAAGAAACGCACTACGCAAGTCCTTGCGAAGATATTATGCATTTCTTTAGAACGGTACACACTTCATAACCGAAAGAAATCAATAAATATAACACTACGATTTCCCTTCTTCTTTCTGGACAATCAAATGGTCAATACATATGAAACTATACTATCTTGTGCATAACAATTATATACAAGTAACATTTAACGCTATCATCTAACTTACCGATATAGGCATCCAATTCTCGAAAACGTCATCCAGCCTGAAAAGATGCCCCGAGCTGCAATTGCCATTCCATGTAGTCTTCAAAATCGAAGCTGCTCGCACAGTCCATCAAAGCGTTCTGCTGCTGCTCATAGCGACAAATATAATTTAGTCCCACGAGCAGTTCACAGACGATAGCCTCTGTCCTTTCACGGTCGCCAAAATACAACGTTTGGAGCAAGAGAACGTTCGTTCTCTTGACAATCTGATGCTGCTCAAAGTTACGCTCGCTTTGCCACCTGATCATGTTATGTGCCATCGGGGCGAGCCACTTTAGGATCTCTTCGAGCCTTTCTTTCCATTCTTGTGCAAGAGGTGCATCGTATATCTCCAAACTTTTCGTGTAAGACTTCAAAGTAGTCTTTAAGTTCTTTCTTAGGCTTTCTGGTAACATCTGATATAAATCATCCCTGGCTTCGTCGCCAATTAGGTGTGGGTATCGAAGCAGCTTCTCTAGGACGATTATGACATTTGCGTAATGCAAGGAAAGAGCAGAACCTCCAACGGTTGAAGGAAGAGCATACAACATTACTCGTCTTTTGGGACCAAATCTTGCATTGTTCCCCGTACTACCCTTGGCCATCCTCGGGTCTCCACCGCTACTATAGGCACTCGAGAAATTCCATCGTTCTTTCCTTGCTCCACTCGCAACACTACTACATCCCGAGACCTGACTGCTTCTATCATCACTACCAGCATTATTATCGTTTGAAGCGGAACTCAAACTTAGACACTCCATGAGTCCAACTCCACAAGCAAAATTGAAATCTTTCGAACAAAATAAGCCACATTGGCTCTTTTGCAACCCATTCTTGGGATGGAAGCTCGTGTTCTTCTTGCTAAGAACTCGTTTTATTGAATCCCCACTCGAGCGTTCCAAACCACTCGAACTGGTTTTTGCAATTATATCATCAGTAACAGCACTAATCCTCGCATAAACTGTAACCACAGTCCTAGCCAGCAATTCCACGACCTTATCGTGAGTCTGATTCCAAAGCGAAACATCCTTCAAATGCCTCACATCTTGCTTCTGCCACGCCAACTTTTGCTCGTACGCTTTCCAAGTCTCCTCGTGCTGATTCTGTCGAAACTTCTTCGTAGCCACTTCCAATTCACTCATCGCCTCCATCTCGCTATACAATCTCGAAGTGGAACTCACATATCTCTCCATTTTCCTTACCATCCCCTCCATATCCTTAACCAAAAACTCCAATTCCTTCACATCAATCACCCCAGCAGTAATATCCCCATACACATGCTCAAAACCCTGCAATGCTGGGATTGTGCATTTCCTCCCCAACCTAGACACCACACTAGCAACCCTATTCAAATCATCAAGTTTCTCAACAAGGGCTAGCTGCAAAATCTTAGTTTCATCATCAGACACAAGGGTTCTTATCCCTACAGAGCTCAAGATCTCATTCTTGAGCTTAACTATCTCGTGGTCAGTCAAAGATTTGTGCAGGTGAATAATCATAGACATTATATTAGCCACTTCAAAAGAAAGTATCCCTATGAACTCTTTTTTTCCTCGCAAAGCATCACTCTTTTTCGAATTTTCCAGAAGTAAAGCGTGCTTAACATTGGTGCTTACCTGATTTCCCATCCTCAACAGCCAAGGCTCCGCCACCATTTCCACAGAATTGGAGCTTCAGAATCCGCCCAGACACATTGAATCAAGAAAATCCAAGAAAATTGGTGCTTTGCGATGGGGAAGCAGAGAGGGGAGATGGGTATTCCTTAGAAAAAAGAAATCTTGATCTTTGGGTATTTCTTATTCAATGATTTTGTGCTGAGGAAAGTGGGCGCAACGGAGATAAGAGGGGATTGCGCATGGTGTGAAAGTGGGGAGAGTGATAAGTGAGAGCGCATTGAACAGGGAAGGAGAGGGTGCGAAGGTGTAATTGATGGTTTTAACTTTCAAGACTTCAACAACAGAGAAAGAAAAGATGGAGGGAAAACAAGGGAGAGTGTTGTTGATTTACTCAAAGTACAGTTGGGACCTGTGTGTGGGGAGGGGGGGAGCTTTTTGTATGTGATTTTCCTTGTAATCATTTCTTTGAAAAAGGTAATGGCAGTTTAGAGATGATTTGGGAGTGGTGCCGTTGGGAAGGGGGAATTTGTGGAATTAGTCAAATTTTTATTTAATCTTTTTTATTTTGTGTACTAAAGATTTCTACTGTCGAACACCGTGATCAATTTTTGGTTGAATTGTAGGCACCAAATCTTTTGGGTAGGACAGTTGGTCTGAAGATTAAATTTTTATTTAATCTTAAGTCACTTCTACCTGTTAAGTGACTCTCCCATACGGGAGGTCATGAGATCGAGCAGTGGAGGTGGTGTAAAGTATATATGAACATATATTACAATCTAATAGAGTCAGTACAACAAAAAAGAGACTTCTACCTCTACTTCTATTCTTTTATATCACATTTAATGCAAGTCTTTCTTTCTTCTTTCTTGGGTTAGATTCAGTTTTTTCGATCAAATTAAATGTCTTATAGAAACAAATAGGAGTCATCACATTTTAATTCAAAATCATACATTCCTCTCCAAAAGCATTGAAGTTTTCAAGTTGGTATGGTTCAAAACTAGAAATAGGACACATTACGATTCTTTTTTTCAAAACGTCTGATAAAAATTGAAAGTGGCTGAAAACGATAGTAATATACTAAACGTGAGTGACAAAAAATTAATATTTTAAGACTAAATGAAAAAGTTGTCTAGTAGTAGTAAGATTGAAAATAATTTTTATAATAAGTGTTATAGCATTGGTTACTTATGAATTTATACTATGAATTAATTAAATGAAATCATATTATTTAAAGAAAATAATGCAAAATATTGGGAGAAAATAGCATTGCCCATAATGCCTTTCATGTTGCCATTGCGTATAACTTTTGGTTTTTTACTTTCCAGGAAAATTCTTTCAATTTTCTGAAGGATGATAGAACCTTAACATCAACCTAATTAGACATACATACATCACATTTGTTTTTTCTGCATTAAATGTCCTTAGTCATGGCTAACCTTAATCCTTGTACTACAATAGTCTTTTCAACAAGTCTTGCAATTGGCTCTGATCTACTTAGAAGGCTTAACATTAAATAAACTGGTCCAACCAAAACTCATCTGTCTCTTGCCTAACACCAATGACTAATACATATCGTAGGGTTTGCGCTCAAAACCCGAGGGTCCCACTTGCCGCTCCCAGAGTCTTGACAGAATAGTAAATTGCAGAATGTACTTCAGCTGTTTAAAGTTCTTCAAAGTGCTTGTTTACTGATGCTCACAACATAATAAATTCATACTGCAACTCTCGATCGTTGAGGGGTTTCAAAATGCAAACTGCTGTTGCCAATGAAACAAGTTATTAGCTTTATTTAGATTGACCAATCAATTGAGATATGCTTGGGCTAGTACTAACTACTATTAGTTTTGTTTTAGGAAGTCATTAGGGGGTGGGGGGGGGGGGGGTGCAGATGTGATCATCTATAATGTTCTGAATTGACCAACACTTAACTGTACTAGAGAAGGAAAATCAAATGTTTTGAATGTGAAGATAACACAACTAACAAAGATATGAAAAGAAGAAAATAACAAGATACTATAGGGTAGACCTTAACATCTCTATCAAAGCTCCAGTCTTTGGTTGGGATTGTGGGTTTGGATTTGAAATTTGTGGATTTAATTACAAGGAAAAAGGATAAGTTGTGTATAGATTTGTCAAAAAAGTAATATGTAGTGGGAGTTGGTGGCATCTGTGTTTCTTAACAAAGACAAAACTATATGTCAAGATGAAAAAATTCATGCAACTACATAGAATAAGGATCAAGACAATGACTCAATGACAATATCGGAAAACCTGCCCAACTTGCTAGCTCATTCACCTAATCATGTAATTGTGGGTTCAGTTTACTAGTGATGTTAAATAACTCATTTGTGGAGCTAGTACAAATAATATATATGGTTATAGATACTATAATAGGCACCCGATCGAACACAAATGATCTCGATTCAAATGTTAGAGATCAAATGGCGTTGACTCGAGTGAGAGGACTTAAATAGCTTTAAAATGTGCATGGTTGGGAGTTAAATGCTAGAAAAATGTAAAATTCTGACCACTTTTCTAATCGCCTAAAAAGTGGTCGAAAACTCTAACTACTTTGCTCGGTGGTTGAAATTAGCGATAAAGACTTTTGCATATGCCAAAAGTAGTGGGAACACCCATTTTAGACCGAAAAACTTTCGATTTTTAACCACTTTTGAATAGTCAAAAATTCAGGTATTTTTAATTAGGGTTAAAATTTGTACAAGACCTCAGGGACTTTTTATTATCTCGGCATGAATCTCGTTAAACCAAAAGAAATTTATGATGGATAGGATCATGCAAAGCATGCAATAAACAAATTAAAGGTTTTGCCTTTTATTATCTTTTGATAATAATTATATTATATGAAAACTTAATTAATTGCATGTTGGGTATATATATCTAGCTGTACTGCAATATAAGTTTTCTTTACTATTTCCTTTTATATATTCTATATTAATTTCATTTAGAAAATTATGAGAATAGTGGTTGGAATTTTAACTAGTTTCCCTCCATATGCATGCAAGTTTTGTTGATTGGAATCTCCACTTTAGATGGAGAATATGTTAAGGCTGTCGTTGCATTTGCCCCACATGTGTCATTAACACTTTAATAAACAATTTTTGAGGTTAAAAATAAAAAAAATGGTAAGGAATGTCAATGTCATGGAGATGGGCTTTTTGTTCTTTTGTTGTTGCTTAGAATTCAGGCTGCTTTTATGGGTGGTTTCTGGTACATTAGGGCATTAACTTTAGATTGGGAAAAAAAAAAAAGTCTTGAGTTAGGTAACAACTTTGTCACACAACCGTATCAACAAACAATCTATGTAGTTACTACTTTTGGATTTTCTTAATTAGTATTTGGTTTGATTTAAAGTTGGTGTACTTAATTGTCTTTTGAAAGAGCTCTCCCTGACTTTCCATGTCTAGATAGAGTACAATGTGGTCCTATATTTTGGATGCATGTCATTCCAAGTGGTAGACTTATGGGTAGACATGATGATGATGAGGATCAATTTTAAGTGAGACATTTTGTGTAGATTTATTTGTTATGATTATATATATTGTGTATTTATTGTATCCAGAGGAAAATATACAATTTTTTTTAATACTATTAACTCTATTATTATAAGGTAGTAGTATATGTTTTATACTTTCTCTAACTATTGCAATCCAAAGAGTTAATACCCCACCACCAGGGTTTGATCTTATGACATTTCTTAAGGAGAGCCATAGACGTGCCATTTGAACACAAGGTGTTTGGCGTAGAAGAATATACATAATTAGTATTAAATTTTATTCCTGATAAATAACCAGGGTGGACAGCCTAGTAAGTCCAAATTATAAGTTTCGTGAGCCCAATCAATACATAATTGTGAATATAGAGTTTTGTAATAGTGAATATAGAGTTCAATAATTTGAATATGAAGATCAAAAATTACGAACATAAAATTTTATAATTATGAACACAGAGTTTAGTAATTATGAACACATAGAACCGTGTCCACCTTGCAAGGTGGACACGGTTCCACGGCATAACAATTGATGACGGGCAATTTATATTATGGACTAGGGTCCGCATAGTATTATGAATCATGGATTGAAACAACGAGGTATAGAATTAATACTCGTAAGGTATATAATTTTATAACACAAAACACAAAAAATTACAACATGTATAGCACATCATTATGGACGCAGCTGAATTGAAAAAATGAGATACAAAATTCATACTTGTAATGTACATAATTATATAAGTTAGTTTGTAACCATTTGTGAAGAAGAAGGTAAAGGAATAGATAACAAAGGCAAAGATGCAGATGGAGTTGAGATTGATCCCTGAATTAAAATGATTAATCTCAAAAAATGACTTTTTAGGTGAGGAATTGATATGATGATTATATGTATTCTTTTGCTTCCTTCGAGAACGCCGTCCTCCTTACTTTTTCATTGTACCTTTAATTTGCCAAAGAAAACTTGACTCCTTTTTCTTTAATAAAAAAAAAAAAAAAAAATATATATATATATATATATATATATATATATATATATATATATATATATATATATATATATATATATATATATATATATATATATATATACTCCGTATATGATAATAATATTGGATCGGACTCATGGTTATTGGTGATTTGGATTTTGGAGTGATTGGGCAGGGCCAATAATTTTTATTTATTAATTTCTCATTTTTCAAGCCCTTCTTGCTACTGGGCTTACAACTTCTACTACAAATAATTTTTCAATTTAAGCATATAATTTAATTTTTAATTATTTAACATTAAATACTAGGGTTGGAGTTTATTTATACTACAATGATGCTTCTTGTATCCAGTATATTAGGACTCTATATTCTAAGTACATTAGAATTCACTCTTCATCTTTGTATATTATAGGAAATATTACCATTTATCATTCCTACTTGTATTTTTTATGCGCAAGGTGTCCAATATTAATACATTATATTAAAATTTTAAATTTATTTAGATTTTAGATATTTAAATTATTCTAAATAATAATAATAATAATGTGAATCATTTTTATAAATTTGATATTTATATTTATGTAATAATTAACATATAACTCAAATATTTAATTTGTATATATTATTATTAATGAAGAAGATAAGAAAATATATGGTGGATGCATGTGCATGGTAACAATAGTGGAAAAGATAACGGAAGTTATAAAGGTAGGGGTATGTTTGTCCAAAATATTTTAATGTACAACCTTTATAGCATAATGTACAAAAAAAAAAAAAAAAAAAAAAAAAAAAACTTAACGGAAAAAACGGATATAAATCAGGGGTATAACTTTCATTCACACTTATTATGTTTTTAGATTCTAACTGGAACTCTTTGTATCTTTATAAATACATACTTTATATCATTATGAATTGATCAATAACAAAATTATTCTCAGAACTATTCAAATTTGGTATGGTAGACTAAAGGATCCATGACTACAAACCCTACCAAAAAAACCCACCGCTACCGTCACTTACCCCATGCCGCCACGCCGCCGTTGGCCGGTGACACCACATTAACTTCTTGCATCATCCAATCACAGCCCCAATAAATACTTACAAATAGTCCATCACTTTATCTCCATTAAACATATTTCCTCAAACTTTCTGTTATGGAATACTCAACTTGTTCCCTTTCTATATGGTCAAAATCTTAGTGGATACGTATACGTTGAAGGCACGTTTCTGTGTCCGGCTTCATTTATTAAAGCTCTGAATGAGTATTCCGTTGTAGCTACGCTCTAAATGAGTGTTCTGTTGTAGCTGCGCTCCGGATTAGTGCTTCATTATTGTAGCCGATCCTGCGGTCGAAAATTTGGTTCGTCAGAATTCTTTTATTGTGTTCGTGACAAAGTAGCATCAAAGGAACTACAATGAAACTACATCTCTACAAAAAGACCAATTGGCATGCATCTTCACCAAGTCACCAACCACAGCAAGGATAAATAATCTAAGGGACATGCAAGCTCAATGTTCTCTCTAGAGAACCTTAAGCTTGAAGGACGTATTAGGACTCTATATTCTAGGCACACTATAATCCATTCTCTCTCTCCCTATATTATTATGGATATTACCATTTGCCATTCCATCTAAGTGACATGTTATAACCGTTTGTCGGTTGGCGATTTTTTCTTATCAACAACGGCGATAAAAAACAAGGAGTGGCGCTCAACGACAGTCTATATACTAGTAACTTGTCGGTTACCGGTAAATTGGACTTTTTTTGAAGGCCGGTAAATTGGACCTATTTTAATAAGTTGGAGTGTTTAAAAGTTCACCCGTCTAATTGGACTTTTGTATAAAGTTATAAAGCCTATTTGATTGTTTTTTCAATAAGAAATTGACAGGATAATGTAATTCTTGTTAATATTACAACAACAACAACAACAACAAAAAAATAAGGAGGAGGAGAAGAGCAAACTCAAACAATATAATAGGCATAAATGATGTTGAATTTATTAGTATAATAGTATTCAGCCACGTTTTCATTCGATTCACGTGTTGACAATATGATGTATGTTAGTTTTTTGTTTTTTGTTATTTGAAATTACGATGTATGTTAGTTAGTACGATGTATATATACAATTATGTTTGAATTGATGACGCGTTGATTTGATGCATTAGGTTTCCGGTGTGAACGCCATCACAAGCAGCAGCAATAATATTATATTGCTGACATTATAATTTGTTCTTTGTGAATAATCGATCATCAATTAGTAGACAAATTAAAATCAACCTTCTGCAAAACGTGAATAATATATATATATATATATATATATATATATATATATATATATATATATATATAGTCCATTTCAGGCATGAGGAGAAATCTGAACATTTGATCTGTCCAAATAAACGACTTTAAAAATAAATAGCGTTTCTAATCTACAGGATGCCATGAAGGCACACAATAAATAACACTTCTGATTTATTATTGTCTTTTCATGTTGTTCAAATTATGAACGCACAAATTTATCTCTTGAAAAGCACAACAGTATACACTACAAAGCATAATAATTTTGCTCTGGAAGTAGTTTAGAAGTAGCTATTCAAACTTTTTCTTTGCCCTTTCATTACTTCTGGATAATCAACATCTTCCAAGTCCACTTTTTCGTCCATAATCTTTTAGAAAACGTACAGCTCTTCACCAAAAAAAAAAAAAAAAAAAAAAAAAAAAAAAAAAAAAAAAGATTATAATAAACGCTAGATAGAGACAAAGATCGTCACATCTAACATTAATATTTCAAACTATCGAAATATTATTTAGCAATGGTTTTAACTGATATTTTTTGGTGGTCATGAACACCTTTAGTATTGATTATATAATCGATGCTAGATTATTTTTGTTTCAGTAGTGCTTAAACATTTATTAAATTTCATCAATCCATTATATATAACACATGACAAATGGACGAGCACTACTGAAAATTATGAAATTTCCGACCACCTGAAAGTGATCTTAAATCAAGTCGAAAGCCTTGTTCCGACCACTTTTGGTATCCGAAAAAACCTGTGTTGCTATTTCCGACCACTTTTTGGTATCAATTTGATTCAAGATCACTTTCAGATGGTCGGAAATTCTATAATTTTCAGTAGTGGAGATCTATACTTTAAAAGAATAAAGACATTTTTATAAATATGTAGAACTTACACATATCATTATTAGGTAAAAATCTCACTTTATGATAAAATAACGTCGTTTAAGGGTAAACATGCATCACTTTAGTAAAACCAACACGTATATTAATATTTTCATACTTATTTAGGCCAAATAATATGAATTTCGATTGAAACAATGCATGTTTAGGTCATGCATATTTTATCTAAAATAATACAAGTAAAAGACTGTGTGTATATATTATCCCAAAACAATACGATTTCAGCATTTTCAATGACTATATGTCTATATGCATATGTATTTAGGCCAAAACAATGCAGATAAATTCCTCCAAAATGATACGAGTTTTTCCCAAAATAATGTAGGAAATTAAAAACTTCTACATATATACAAAATATGTCATTGCATATGTTAGTTTATTTAAATTCATGTGCTTTAGGGTACGTAAATGATACTAATTTTTTTGGAAGTGATGTTATTTTCCTCATTTTTGTCCTAAATGGTACTCCGTATAAAGAAAGTTTTACATATATATATATTTTGAAGTATAGAAATTTTGAATATGAAGTGATGCATGGAAGATTAGTTAGCACTAATTATTGGACTTTGGAGCACATACAAGACTTTTCACATGTTAGCTAGCCCAAACGGTAAGCTAAGTAGTAGAAAATAATTAAAACAGCAATAAAATTTCATAACTGCTAGTCACGGTTAGGTAATCCACGCTTATCTCTTAATTTACAGAAGACTGGAACCACCAACTAAAATTATTTCTCGAGTGAACTTTGGTCTTGTGACCGGAATCAGTAAAAAATCACAAAAAAAATAATTCAAGTCAGTTTAAATTGCACATAATTAATCGACTCAAACCAAAAAGAACAATAAATCAGAATTGAATTTGAAACTTTATAATTATCAAGTTCAATTGTTTGACTAATTTGATTAGATATTGTCCAAATTCACGTTTATCTTAAGTTGATGTTATATATATATATATATATATATATATATATATATATATATATATATATATATATATAATATATGACATAACATCTAATTAATTCTATAAATAACCTTTTTGTGACTCCAAAAATAAATTAAAATTTGAGAGGCTAGGAGAGGTAAAGAACTAAAGTCTAAAGGATGGGAGTTGAGTCTAGGAATCTTGTTAAGAATATATGGGGGTCAAAGATGGAACATTTTATTAAATTTAACGTATGGAGTATAATATATATATATAGGATTCATATTTTTGCATATTTATGCTTTTGCCCTTTTGAGACCGTTCCTTTTCGTAAAGTAGTCGTCGTTGTACCAATGGACGGTGGCTATTCAATTCTTCTTGCTTAGCTCTGTAGTTACCAATATTATTTCCACTTTCTTTATATATATATATATATATATATATATATATATATATATATATATATATATATATATATATATATATATATATGAGACGGCTAAGGTGAAAATCAAGTGTTCAGATGAGCATCAATATTAAGTGCATCTAACATGATCATTAGCTGTATCAAACATTATCATTAAGTGCACTACTGTAAAAGACGTTATCATTAGATACACTAAATTAAAGTTCAAACGGTAAAATTACATGCACTATTTAGTCAAAATGGTTGCACTTTTAAATTTTAATACATGTTACCTGTGATTGGTTCTTAGTTCTCACTTGAACGCGCCCATAGGTCATTACATGCCATCTGAGTATAAGGTGCTTGGCATATATATATATGTGTGTGTGTGAAAGAGTTTGTATAATTAGACCATCGAAAAAAAAAAAGTATGTGTATGTATATAATTAAGCAAATTGTGCCCAGTTGACGCCTCTGTGACTCTCAAACAATATGAAAGCTTCCTTAATTGAATGAAATTCGACAAAAAAATTCAAATTAACCACAATATAATATTTAACCAAATGAAAAAAGAAGCATTTGGCATCATTCCCAAACGATTCTTCTGATTAATATTTTTTTATTAACCTAAAATATAACAAATTCAATGTTGTCGACTAATTGTAACCTCAAATACAGGAATTTGACTTTTTATTTGATCTGTAAATTAATATATTAAGCTTACATTCCATTTGATAAATATGAAAAGTAATGTTATTTGTATTAAAATTTGTATATTAAATTTTGTGTTATATGATATACATAATTAGTTTTGATTAATTTATTTTGAAGTTCACAAGTAGTTAATAAAATGGATAATATTAACACGTGAAATTATAAGTTATGCCGTACCCAGAAAAAATTGATACAAGTAACATATTTGATGAATTCAGTTAAATTGTAATTACAAATAATGAAAATCTAATTCTAGATTTTGTCTATAAGCAATGAAAAAGAAAAGGATTGATAATTAAATATATTCTGCGTCGGTGTTTTACCTTCTCTAATAATTCAAATTGATCCTCGTTTATTACAATGTACTGAGTAAATTCTGTCTTGTAACTTATTCAGCAAAGGACCGTAAGAAGAGAAACTCACATCCTGTGACCCTAGCTGCCATAGGATCACAATGAAGTAAACCAATCTAAGTTACACATAATTAATCGATTCGAACCAATAAAATCAATATGTCACTTTCATTAAGTATCAAACTTAAAACATTGTAATTATTAAAGTAATTGCTGGAACAAATTGGGATTACCCTAACTAATGTGCCTTTTGATTCGTAAAAAGGTTGTTGGTCCAGATCCCTTTGAGAAATCCTTTTTGAATGAAACAGTAATGGAAATGACTTAAGATGCTCCAACAACACTCCTTAGACGACAGTATCACGTTACACTTGTCTCCATCACTTGGACACTTGCTAAACTACCCATCTTTCTTTTTATCACATCAATGAATTATATCGATTTCTACTTTCACAAGTTTAGGGTTTAGTCCATCACTTCACCTCTTACCGCTTCAAACAATTGAAAATTTTAGCAATCGGATGAGATAATTAAGACTATTCCTATCACTCTACACAAAAGTGTTTGATAAATAATTGTTAACTAATTGAGTTAGAAAGTTTGACTAGTTGATAGCATTAGATGATTGTAGAAAAATATTTGGGAAATTAGCTAATAGCTATTTGTTTTTTGTGCTCACTATTAGGTAGTATCTATTCAAACATACTTTCTCAACCAAATGAAGCCCACAGAGTCAACAACACCTCCACTATGGCTCGATCTCATGACCTCCCATTAGGGCTGTTAACGAACCGAACATAAACGAACGGAGGTTGTTCGTGTTCGTTTGTTAAGGAATTTGGAGTGTTCGTGTTCGTGTTCGTTTGTTAAGTGTTCGTTAACGTTCGCGAACACGTTCACGAACGTGTTCGTTAACGTTAACGAACATGTTCACGAACGTGTTTGTTAACGTTCGTGAACATGTTCGCAAACGTGTTCGTTAACGTTAACAAACACGTTCACAAACGTGTTCATTAACAAGCACGTTCACGAACATATTCATTTACGTTCATGAGCACTTAATAAACAAACATCTGCACATGTTCATGATCACAATTCGTTCGTGAATAATAAATAATCTACGTTCACGAACAATAGTCAAACAAACAACACAACTACAAAACTAATATAATATAATATAATATAATATATATGTTTGTGAACATGTTCGCGAACATTATTAAACGAACACAAACGAGCTTGTTCACGAACATTATTAAATGAACATAAACGAGCTTGTTTACGATCTCTTAGCAAACGAGCTTACAACTGTTCAAGCTCTGTTCGTTTATTAACCGAGCTCTAAATTTTGTTTGTTAATGTTCGTTTACCTTAACAAACGAACATAAACGAACGTTTACCGAACACGAACACGAGTAGTTTGCCGAAAGCTCTGTTCGCTAACACTCCTACCTCCCATATGGGAGAGATCACTACATGTCATTTGAACACAAGGTGTTTGACAGCTGATTGTTAATTACATGTAAAATAAGTTTCTCAAAAAATTAATCTAAAAAACTGCTTTGAGCATCATTTTGAATTTTAGCGTTTTGAAAATCTAATTAATCAAACACTCAAAATGACTTTTTAACAAAGTGAAAGTGAATTCAAAAATAGTCATAGTTTTTCTCAAAAGATTGAGTCCCCACCTCGAAAGCTCCGCACCGGGCCAAATCTTGTAAATCATGGTAACTCAATTGAACTACAGAGAATAGACTTTTGCTTAGTTTAGACTCGATCCCTAGTTATTCTTTTCAAACTGTCACTCTTCCTAGCTGTCCATGCGGGCTCAAAAATAATAATAGTGAAGTAACTAATAGTAATCAAACAAGTCAAATTTAACTGATAAACTAACTATTTTATCAAACAGGATTAAAGCCAAAAAATATAGTAAATTCAATAAAATTTGTGGGTACGAAGGTGTGGCTTGTTTGTTCCTGTCAATACCAACGCCCACTCGGAGCGCTGGCTATGAATGGGATGTGGGCATGTGGGTGATGGTGATGTTAGGCACTTGCTTTGGTTTCAACAACTAATTACAACCCATTACTACGCAACTTGAATTCTGCAGTTGAATCTGTATATTCTTGATGTTAACTCTGTACACAAAATCAACATATGCGTATCAATTATCAAACAAACAATAGACTAAACACAAAAATGTTTGGTTAGAAGAATTGGTCTAGAAAAATCTTTGGTTGAAAATTGAAATAATTACAGAAGTGGGTCCACCAAGCATAGCTATTCAAACCGGAAAATTCAAAAATCAAAAATCAATGCGAGCAACATATGGACACTTCAAATGAAAGCGACAGCGGCCAAAAAAGTAAAACGAGAAAATGACGTCATTTTTATTTGTTAATTTTTACGGAGTATTTTTTTTTTGGTTAGTAAATTGTATAGAAATTAGTAATTCCTCTCAATCGAAAGGGGTAGAACTGGGAAACTATGAACATTAGGTGTATTCCGTCAGAATTACAATCAAAAATTAAAATGAAAAAAAAAAAAAAAAGGAAATACAAAATTTAGATTTCAGATAACCGTCTGCGTTTGGATCTAGATCATCTATCGGCTTTTCCTGTACAAACGAACTGAAGAAACGGAGCCGGATCGTAGGAGAACGGCGCCGCCGGGTGTTGCCACTTCTTAAACACCACCGTCTGCGGCTTCTCCGCCTCTCTGCTCTCGTCCTTCTTACTGCTCGAGTTCGAACACGACTTGATCGCCGCCGTTAAATCGCTCGAATCCGGCGACGTAATCAGCGGCGATAGCAGCGGTATGGCCACATTCCAATCCGTCGAGCGGTTTATCTGGATCGACGCCGGCGCTTTCCGCTGCAATCGGCTCGACTGCCGCCGGTCCCCTGACAAATATTTCTTGTTCTCCGCCATAACCGTATATGCGAGGACTGTAGAGACTAGAGAGAGAAACGTGCACAGTATATTTTGCTTTAGAGAGAGAAAATTTAGGGATTTGGTGAGAGAGAGAGAGAAGAGGGAAGTGTGTGAACAGAGATGAGGAGAGAGATTGTGGGGGATGGGTATATATAGGGGACATGTGGTGTGCACGTTGAAGGTGGGGCCGGGGCGGGGGTAATATGGGAAAAAGGTACGGCGAGATTCAGTCAATGGTCAAGGGAACTAACTTTACAGGAGATTAATGATTTCTGTTGCTGTCACGCGGCTCGGCGTCGGCTTGGATGGATTTGAGCTGGCTTCATCGTAATTATACTATGAATCAATACCATGAATGATTGATTTGACCAACAAAATTAGATTAGAATAATTTTCTTTTGGACCCTTGAGATTCTAGATAGTTTTAGGTGTAATCTAGAGTATCCATCATACTAATTTTTTCGTTGAAGTGTAGATACTTCAAAAGGGTGAGATAGTTGGTTTGGATATTTAAAAGAGTAAATACTCAAAATGGTCCCTCGACTATAGTTAAATTCACAAATTGGTCTTCGATTTTCAATTTCAACCAATTAAGTCCTTAACTTTGTAATTTTAACACAATTTGGTCCTCTGTCTATTTGACCGTTTGTTGACTGTGATTTTTGAGCATATATATGTAATTTCATGATCCATCGTCGGTTTTTTAAGGTTCTAGTTACATTTCCAGACCGCACAGTTACATTTGAGTCCACTGCCGAAAGCAATCTACCAAATCCGATCGCCTTTCTTCGTCCTCCCTTTGGATTCAATGTAGTTGAGTTCGTACCAGAGCGAAGAAGACGACGTGTTTCCAAACCAGTGCAACGTCATCCTAGAGGCCTCCACGTGTTCCGATGAGAGCTGAAGGTTCTTCTGGAGATCGTCGATCACGGTCAACAAACGGTCAAATAGATGGAGGACCAAATCGTGTCAAAATTACAAAGTTAAGGACTTAATTGGTTGAAATTAAAAATCGAAGACCAATTTGTGAATTTAGCTATAGTCGAGGGACCATTTTGAGTATTTACTCTATTTAAAATCGCTCCATATCTCAAGACTTATAATTGATACTTTAATATTTGATTTTGATTCTAGATATTGTACTTAGAGCATTGTCAACATGGAAAAAAAAAAAACATTTTACTCGCCAAATAAGCTAGATAGAATAGGAGATAGAGGAAGGAAAATTGAAAACAAAAGAAGTATTCATTTACAAGCCTAGTAAGAGTTGTTGACGTGCGAAACGTACACCAGCACATTTGTTATTCTTTTTTTTATTATTATTTTTATGAGACGCAATAAAAATTTGTACTTGTAGGGCTTCTTCCATTCATTCTCTTACTTTCTCTCTTCCGCACCAACAAAAATTGAGTAAAAATCACCATTGAGTGATGCTCTTTGATCACCATGGTTGGATTAAATATTGATGGGAGCCCTTTATGAGTTACGACTTTATGTAATTTTTCTGTTAAGAAATAAGTCGTAAATGGAATAAAATTTATGCTGGTGAAATATGTTCCATTGACACTTTAAATTTTGTTCTTTTTTATATTATTATATGTATTTTACTTCATTTTTATATAAAAAAAAATTATATCGTTGAATTTACTTGCTTGATAATAATGCATTCATCAATGACTTGTATCTTGAATTTTATTACTTATATTTGTACAAATACTTTTCCGACTAAAAATATAAAAATATTTTTGCCACTCATACAATTATCACTCCCTATTAGCCGCTCCATGATTTTTTATTTTATTTTTTTTTTTAAAAAAAGGTAAGTTATTTTTTTTTATGAATTACTGGTGAATTGGTTAACTGCACTTTAAGTTAATAAAAATTTTATTTTTTTGAATGCTACTAACTCTATTACATTGTAGTATCTGTTCATATACTTTTTCAACCTACTGAAACATGCCTCCACTGAGGCTCGAACTCAGAACTTTCCAAATGAAAGTCCAACCCGGGTACCATTGGACCACATAGTTAAGATTATGAAAATGTAATATTACTTTAAAAATCACTACAATAATGATATGTTGTATATATGAAAAAATAAATTATTTAAATATAATGTTATAACACCTAAGAAAATGTAGACAATCATATTATTACCTCCATTTTCTTACCGGGCAATAGTGTTACATCATCATCATCATCATTATTATTATTATTATTATTATTATTATTATTATTATTATTATTATTATTATTATTATTATATAACATTAAACTAAAAATAAAAAGAATAATAACACAAATATAACAAAAGTTGAAAAAAAAAAAAAAAGAGGGGCATTAAGGTCCTCTATAAAGAAGCCCCTCTTTCAACTCCCATCCGTTGTTCCCATATCGGATGGGCAAAGCAGATGGCCCTTAAAGGAGCCTCAATGATCCAAATAATGAAAGTAAAAAAATTTTAAATAAATTTTGTTTGAAGGGAGTTTTGGAAAAAAGATTTTTCTTTTTTCAAAACGTCAATCGCAAACACTACTAAAAGTATCGTTCGAGATTTGGGTGGTTTGGAGCAAAAATGTTGCTCTAAATTACCAAACACTTGTTTTAATTTTTTGATCAAGTCAAAACACTAACTTTTTTTTGTATTCCGAGTTTCCGTTGTTAGACAAAGTGACTAATCCCTTCGCTGAATTGTAGGTACATCTTTTAAGTGGGACATAGTGACTCAATTTGGTCAAATATGTCAAACTTTGATGAATCTATCATGCTTGAATATAAACTTCTTTTTGTTTATTTATTTTGAGTGTTAAAAGAGTAGTAATTAAATGAATTAATTTATTTTAGGGAGAAGTGTCAAATAGGTCCATGTACTATTGTCAAGTGCTCAATTCTCACGATGAACTAAATTAAATGCTAATTAACCACACTTACCTATTAAATTTGTTCAATTAGCATTTTTAGCAAGTAATTGACTTTTTTTTACAGGTTACCAATTTAATTATTAAAAAATAATTTAATTTTTTTTTTTAAAAAACATAGGTCTGGTAACAAGATGAATTCTTTCCCATGAATAGTCAGAAGAACAGAAACTGATCATCCAAGGCAATAGGGAGAAACATTGATCAATTATTTCAGGGTAATAAGAAGCAAATTATACAAGATATTGAAAGGAAAGAAACCCCTTGCATTCACTTTAAATTTCAAAATTTTAATATAAATCATGAAATTGTACACAATTTCATTCATTTCCGAAAAGATACAGATACACCCATAACTGTAAGAAGTTAATTGAATTCCTTTCATATCAGCTACTCAAATTAATAAACGTAAGAATTTTAATTTTAACTTGGTAATTCCACAAACACAAAATTAGTAGCAGCAATAAGAAGAGAGGAGGGGCAAGGGAACCATGATTTCGCGAATGGCGGTGGGGGAGACGCCGTCTCCGTCCTTGGACTGCTTGAACTTCTTGATTGCAATAGGTTTGTTGCTGTTGGATTTGATCTTCGCCAGAAACACCAGTCCGTACGTTCCTTCCCCTATCTTCACGAGAAGATCGTACTGTTGCAGCCACTCGACCTATTTCCCGAATTTCCACCTCATATTAGACAGCCGTGGCTGTCCGGTCTTTGAAATGGCAGCCACCGGCTGTCCGGCTAGGACAGCCGGTGGCTGTATTCTTCTTCTTTTTTTTTTTTTTTTTTTTTTTTTTTTAAAAAAATTTTTTAAATTATTTTTTAATAATTAAATTGGTAATCTGTAAAAAAAAGTCAATTACCTGCTAAAAATGTTAATTGAACAAATTTAATAGGTAAGTGTGGTTAATTAGCATTTAATTTAGTTCATGGTGGAAATTGAGCACTTCACAATAGTACATGGGCCTATTTGACACTTCTCCCTTTATTTTATGACTACAAGTGATTAAATCTATAATTTTATATCTCTTTTCTAAAAGTTACTTTCTAATTTTCAACTTTAAAAATTATTTAACTATGTATTATAAAAATTCTATTTACAATATATCGTCATCTAATTGGCTTGTGAATTGTGTAGAATCAATCAATTTATAAATAATTAATAATTTTTTAATTTTTAAATAAAAATTAATATTGAGAAGAAAAAAATGTGATGAAATAAATAAGGAAAAATACATTTTTCGCTTCAGAATATTTCCTCCTATCTTTTTTATGAGTGATTTTCATTTATTGAATGACAATGAATTAACTAACATGCTATTAATTAAATAATTATACATTAAATATTCAATTAAACAATATCATGTTAAGAAATGGAAAAAAAAAAGTATGATTGTACGAGAATGTGTAATATTATAAATAAATATTATATTATATAGGTTTAATTGATGTGGTTAAAAAAATAAATAAATAAATAATTGATGTGTGGCAATTTAGCCAAGCCGAACAAAGTCCAACTTGGCTAAACTACTTTCCAACCGAACAAAGAAAAAAGCTCGGCTGGCTCGTTGCTGACTAATAATATAAGAATCGGCGCACGTTGGCACGCTAACGGCCAACACTGACGGTGAAGGCCCGCTGTTTAGTGTTTACCACTCTCACGCCGCAAGATTCTGACCACTCTGTTAACCGACGTTAAAAATCTTCAAACTTCGCCGCACGTGAAATCTGAATCACAAATCACGATCCTTAATTTCCTCCTTCCCTTTTTGACGGCTGTGATTCGACGCTTACGTGGTCGCCTCTTATCCTCACACTTCTAGAGGGCACGTTGGATTCTGATTTCATGTTATCCCCAATGTCTCTTTTTGTCTCTAATTTCTTGTTTTCTTATCTAATTTACCCATTTGGAGAAGTGTAAAGGAAGTGGTGTTCAACCATTTTTAGATTATTAAGTGCGTTTAAGTTAGTTTTAAAATATGTCAAAATTTCTGCCACCTCACTTATTTTTGTTCCCTGTAGATATGTCACAACATAATTTCTCAGTCCTTTCTCAGTCCTTTCACAGTCTGCACGAAATATCTTTTTTCGGATTGGTTGTTTGTACGAATTGCTGATGGACAAACTTGCTTGAAATTTCAAGAATTATTGAGAGAAACATTGACAGAAAACAAGATGTGCGTTACGAGGTGGCGTCTTGTACCGACTGAGTGACGATTAG